AATACCAACTTTATTCTCAGACTGTAAAGAATCTCAAGTGTAAATTTTGACGTGCCTTCACAACATGGTACTACTAGAAAAGCTGTGAATTTCCTCTTAATCTTAAAGTAGCGATGGCTGATATAACTATTTGCTTACCTTTTTGAAAAATTACACAGTTTTAATAACTCCCACAGGGTATTTATTAAATAACACTGTCCCTTGGTATACTTATTTTCTTATAGAGACTTCTTAGTAAATCTTCTGGCTCAGTTGGATGTACATACACTAGGCGTACATCGACAGATAAGGAGCAAGATGATGAAATATCCAAATGTATGCTATGGTATGATGGCATTTAAACATCTTCGTCAGTTCTTTTGATTTTACATTCCCATATAGATGATTCTTCCTGTATCCGTCTGCACATAAGTTAAGATGCTTATCACTTCAAAAAGGACTAATCACTTTCTTCTTACCCCTCTGCCTCTACATTAGGTTATCTCTGTTTCAATTCAAGGTACTTGATTAACCAGGATTTGAGCTATTCCTGTATGTTTATGTTATTGAAACCAACTTTCAGCCTAATTACGTAATCCTCTTATGAGTCCTAGGGTATTCGACTACCCTTTTAAAATAATTACGTCCTGCGGACAAAGTGGATCATTTGTGCTCTAAATATAAGAGTACTGCGCAGTTGCTTCTTCCCAGTATGAGAATTCTCAGCAGTTCATATCCACGACTCTGCTTAGGATCGAGCTCAGGACACCGAACACAATAATACTCAGCTACTGAGTTGTAATCCAATGGTTCATTGTTTCTTGTCTTAAGTAATTCGTGATATATCATGGTCATCATTCATTCTCATCAGTGAGCATTCACCTCTCACTCGGATTGCATGTTGTTAATGACTGATCACTCACTTTATTCCATCAAAATTTTGTTAGTGCTACACTAATAGCCTAATTTAATTTAATAGGGTATTTTATCTCAATCTACTCGTCAAACTTTCCGTTTGCAGTATTTCTGGATGCTGTAACTAGAAATTCCTTGTTTCACTCCGTCACTACACTCGTGAGTCTGTATCTGAGTCATTCAATACTACACAGAGTACCAACTAATCTTTAGGATTCTCTTTTAGACAATCAGATGCTAGTTGTATCACTAATAACTTGCTCTGCTCGAAATCGTGCACGTCGATGAACATATTTAGGGACAATTCTATACTTTATACATCGGATTTTTAAAAAATACGATATCTGTGAAGGTAGTATCATTTTGTTAACCGGTTTTTGAACAGGAAGATGATATATTTTCAACAAGGTAACAGTAGAACTTCAACACAGTGAGTGTTGTTGTGTATCCAATATAATAATTTCGTTTGAATAAGTGAGTAGTTTAAAAATTGCCTTTCTTATTTCTCAATTAAAATGGAGCTATTCCCTTTTACTTCCACTGAACATAAGTTGACAAGTGTATGATGAGATTAGCAAAAGGGAATATATTTGTAATATGCAAGTCTATTAGCGTCAGCAGATACAATTTATTAGCGACAACTTTAACTTCAAAGAAAATAACTTTCTGAGACATATCCGCCACAGACTAGTTTCAAACAGAAGTTACTATCATCATTTAAGTTTTAGATACGAAACAGGTTGAATCGAAGTGTGAATAATTGCATATTGGGCTACGAACCTCAATTAATACGTCAAGGACGTATGGGGGCATGTATTTGTGCATACCAAAGTGAATTTAGCCAGTGCGGACCCTCTGACTCATTAATGACTGGTATTCGAAACTTATATATATATATATATATATATATATATATATATATATATATATATATATATATATATATATATATATATATATATATATATATATATATATATTGGAACTACATAAAACATAATGTAGAAATAATGCATCTCAGTGCTAAAATATTAAAGGTGCAAACATGTACAGTTACCGAAGGGGTAGTAAACTTGATATTTTGGTAGGTCTTTCTTTGTCGGTTACAGCACCATCGATCACATATTATGCATAGTTTTCCTTATCTATTTCATTTCATATTTTGATTGGCTGATTAAGCAAATGGGGACCAGTCAACTTCCAAGTTAAGAGTGCAAAATCCCCTTTCATAAGTCTACCATTCAACTATTACCAAAATGCAATTATTTGCAATTTTTCTACTTTTTCAAAATGCAACGCGAATAAAGCGTATGCCAGAAAATTTCTATTCAAATGAGTTTCCTTCAAAAGCCTGATATGCACCAAAATAAACTTGATAAAATGAGCTGCGAAGAAAGTAACTTCAACAACGCTAACCAACTCCGATTCGAATAACTGAAATATGCAGACAACTTGCGTGTTAAATGCTCGTAAGAAATCATCTTTGTCAGACATTGTCTATGTATAAAACTAATCAATGACCAAGTTTGGTAAAGACTTACTTTAGGCGTCTAATTAATTTTGTTGAAATTTCGCTTTTTATTTTCTCACTACTTTGAAGAATTTTCTATAAACTTTTGTCTGAAAAGTGTTGAGACTAGCTGACGTTATGTATGCCATTTGATAAAAAAAAAACGAAATTTCAATTTCCTATTTGAGCTGAATAGGCTTTTCTTTTTTTCTGAGTAATAGGTTTATCATCTTGTCTGTATAACTTGCCGACTACAAGATAATAAACGTCATTTAGAATGAGATAGGTGTCGTTAAGTTGTCCAGTAGATCATCATCAAGGAGTTTTCAAAGCTATTATGATTTTGAAATGGTGGAGAATATTTGTAGTCCAGGTGGATGATCTTAGTTGTATTTTTTTCTCTGAGCTGTTTTGTTTAATCATATGTCGTAAGCATGGCCTCTAGTTTTCTCTTTTGATTGTCAACCACCAACTGATATCTCAGGATCCGATGGTATGCATATGTGATCACCAATTGTACCATTCGTCTTCCACTTTGTTCGCTTATTTTCTATCCCACTAGTCAATAAGTGGTCTATATTTCACACTCTTCGGCAGGACAGTGACAGGATTAAACAACCCAGCTCAGAGGACACAATACAGCCGAGATCATCCACCTGAGGTACGAACGTTCTCCACTAATTCAAAATCATACCAGAGTAACACGCTTCACGTAGCTCGATCAAAGGGCTTCCCCAAGAAGCAAGCTTCCAAAAAATAACAACTATTCTTTCTTTATGAGTGCCCACCTCAGTATGTTCTGCTGAAGAGTGTTAGATATAGACCACTGACTGTCCAGTAGGGTGGAAACAAATGAATAGAGTGGAAGACGAATGATACAATTGATCACAGATGCATACTATCGGATCCTGAAACACCAATCGGTCATTGACAATCAAAAGAGAAAACTAGAGGCCATGCTTACGACACACTATTAAACAACCCAGCCCAGAGAACAAAATACAACCAAGAAATTCTAAAGCCTCAAACATCTGCATATAGTTACTATGATTCGAGTAGTGATACTCCACCCATCTATTTTATAGACATCAGTCAACGGAGAATATTCAGAACGATAGGTAGATGTGAGTTGAAGAATATCCAAGGGATAATATATAATATATATAACTATTATTATCAATAACAAAAATGACGAAATATTATCCAGTACTTTTACGGTAAGTGGTGGTTACATTGCAAAATAGTTCATACGATACACTCAGGACCAAACCACACAATATGGGTTAATCTCCAGTGACGAATCAATATAAAAAAAAGAACTACTTAAGATTTCAACCAGGATCCGTTATTTCATGTTATCAGACTGAGTTAATGGATACATCAAAGAGCAGTTAGCATGCGAATAGGATGTAGCCTATGAATCAGCAAACACAGAAACAGCGTATGCTTCTTTTACTGTCTCATTTCCATCTTAGAACTGTCGTTCCACTGATATTACTAAATTATTGGCGGAAAACATCATTAAACAGTACTATGTAAACAGTAACCAGGATATACATTGAAATTCTTTGTTAAATCTATTTGGAAACAGTTTCTACTACGAGATGATGTGAGGTAAGGTGTCACTGAAAACGTATGGGGGCTGCGTGTCCATTCCATCCTGATCTAGGCGGAAGATTTCACATAAATGACCTCAATATTTTCAGATTCTAAAGCGAACAAATGACCATCCAATCACTGTTAGAAATGCACTCTATATACCGTCCCCTTCCTAAATGTCTAAACACCTATTTATTTAATAGACCGCTGAGTTGAATCGATAAATATGAGATTGACGAGTTAGTCATTGTTATTGTTGTTTTTTCTCCTTCGGATAAGAATAATTTCATTTGAAGAAAACGGTTTACAAATAATTAGCTCTCGACTTTGTCTCCTAATTGCTATTGCTTTCAGTCGATAATCATTCGGAAATAATCTATACAGTTGATGTATGATGATGTGATCTAGTACTAGATAGTATGCTGATTAGCTATTTGTGATTTTTGTATTCTGAATGAGAAAACATTTCATTATCACTGTGAAATATTAGTGACAAGCTGAAGTTAGACTGCACAACCTGGTTCACAGCAAGTTACCTAACACATCAGAGGAGGTGTTATCGATTCAACTACTTGTCTGTGTTTTAATTTGGCCTTCATCATCTGAACATTTTGATAATTAGCTTAGTTTGTCTTATGCCACCGTTTAGCTTGCAGCAAATTGAGTATTTTGATGAAATACGCATTACTTTACTCCATTATGATAGTGAAAATATCGTTGACATATTACTCTACATTTAAGCAGTCTGGTTTTGCTGTGTTTAACAGCTACAGGATATCAATCAACTATTTCTTTGAAAGAAGTGTGCGGTATGGTATTCTATGATGTTCCGTTTAATTTCCAAGTATAAATTCTTCGGAGATAAGAAGGTAGTTTGTTAGGTTTACGTGCTTGTTCCGAAGGTCAACTGAGTAAAGAAAGATATTTTGTATAATAGTTATTAGCTGATCAGATTTGTCTCAAGACATTTTTTCAATGTATTTTTTTTGTGTTGTAGTATAATGCACACAATCGTTGTTAATGTGGACAATGAACCGATCAGCTTCCTTCCAAATGGTGGGCTCAACGTCTCCAAGTTATATATTTATAATTCAAGGATTATCGAAGGTCGGATGAAATGGTACAAGGTAGATTTTTACTCCTATTATATATATATATATATATATATATATATATATATATATATATATATATATATATATATATATATATATATATATATATATATATACCGAGTTTCATTCAATACAGAGAACCGTGGCAATATTCGCTAGAGCTCTCAACCCACCAGAAATAAGTTTCGCTTTCAAATCGCACTTTGTATGATTTCAACCTACCGACCATTCTGAATAATAAGCCGTCAAGTACTGCGTGTAGCTCACATACTATTACATAGACCTATATTAGCATGACTTGCATTACAAACGCATACATGTATGTGTGTTTAACTCAATAGACACACCAATTTCAATAAAGATGCGACTAACTGTTTTGATCAGATGTTTGCTACCGACTGCATCTACATCTTTGAGCAGGTGGTTGAAATGTATGTGTTTATTTAAAAATTATGGTGCAGGTCTGATTAGATGCTAAAGCTCCGATGTAACTGGTTTCTCTAAATAATTACCAATTATGGATATAGAGGTAGTTGAGAATGATCTGAATTTGGCCAGCGACTGATGCTTATAATCAAGGTACCATTAGAACGAACTGTGTTTCGGAAATAACTGTACTCGACTTCTAAAGTTCACAGATTCAAAAAAAAATACACCAACAAACAGAAGAAGTTACTAGGGGACCACAGATATTTTGACGGTGTTGTGATCTCTGAGCTGGAAAGTTTAATCGTGGAGCTTTCGATATCATTCTAGACAGCATCATCAGCATGAACTTCAGAAAGAAGTAAGATATAAGGTTTTCTCCACAATTTATTCGGAAACTTGTTCTGATGGCCTTGTGCGTGAGTGGTTATTTCCCCCAAGGTACTGTCACAGTCTCCACATTTTTTTCGATCGGCTGTCTTGACAACTGACCTTCTCGTTGTTTCTTATTGGTCAGTAGATTGGGTCATTGTTAACATGTGTGTTGATCGCCGGCTGACCTGAATACCAAGCTTGTAAAAATTCTCTGTCATTCTTTCTATTTCCTCTATCCAAGATTGCCACATTTTTACAGTCGAATTCATGTCCACACTTGCCCTTATGCGTTGGTATGAGTGGAGATTTGTCATGATGTTTCACTGAAAGTTGATGATCATGTGGATGGATACGAAGAGGTTGACCACTCTGTCCAGTGAAGTGTTTTTTGCAGCTTCAGCAGTTATATTTTTGCAGATAATGTTTGGTCTGTCTATCTTTGTTATTGTACCCTTTGGCCTGCACAACAGAGAGAGAAGAGATTTTTTGAGCTTATGAACTACAGTGATTCCAAAAGGCTGTAATAATCTAACCCCGATCTCGGATAGGTTTGAGGTTGACAAAAAACTATGGTAACATCTGTTGATGAAGTTACGTGGATAACCGTTCTTCAGGAAAACTGTCTTCTTTTTTGCACAAGGTTAATGTACTACAGTATGTCTTCGGTCTTTTGAACAACGTTTTCATATCTCTGATTTTGTGTGCTGTTGGGTTGTTACTACCGTAGTTGAGAATATGATGCGCACGAGTTGGTTTTCTGTATACTTCAGTTCCCAATTTCTCTGAATCCTTTCTAGTGAACACAACATCTAAAATGCATGTTTGTTATTTGAGTCCTCTCCAACTGTGAATTTGATGTCGTCGAAATTGTTGATTAATTTTAAGCGTTTTTCAATTCATTTCTTATAATGATTACAATTTAAAGTTTTGATTTGATCAACTGTAATACCACAGTTTCAAATCCTCGCATTACAGCTTCTTCAATTAGCCTTGATATTAGCAATCCACTGATGTTCCCTTTATCTGTTTATACAATTTACCGTTGAACTTAAAATATATTGTAAGGCATAAATCAATTAATTCCATCATTGAATTTGGGGGGTTTGTGGGGATTTGGAGATATTTCAAGTTGGTATTCATCCTTGACTGAAATCAGTTGGAGGAACAATGAAAACCTGAGGGCGCTGGACAGCTGTTTCATCCTAGTACGGGCTCCTCAGCAGCGCGCACCACCATGGATAGAACCCATGACCTCTAGGTTCCATGGCCAGCGCGTTACCATTGAGTCACTGGGTCGGTATTCAATGGTCCATATTTGCAACTTCTGTTAGTTCACAACATAGCGCGACCTCCACACAATGTCATCGTTAAGTATTTGTCCTTACGACCATCAGGTTTGCCCTACTGGTCATGACTTCTCACTGGAGCTCCAAGTATCACCTCTCGAGGCTAGTCACCGATGAGCACTAGTTCACTTGAATTTGGGGGGATTGTGGGGATCTAGAGATTTTTCAAGTTGGTATTCATCGTGGACTGTGAAGAAGAATCGTTGTATCCTTAGGCAGTTTCTGTTCACCTGTGGTATATAAAGCTCCAACATCGGAAGTCACCATCATTTTGTCGTTTCTAATAGGAATGACCTTGATGTTTTTTGAAAACTGTGTCGAAGGTTTGATAGAGTGGCCGCATGATTTTACCAGATGTTTTAGTTCGCTGAAGAGTTTTTCAGAAAGATTGTAAGTTGGGGTTCCTGGAAGTGAAAAAATTGGTCGTAGTGAGATGTTTGGTTTGTGTATTTCTGGTCTACCATAGAAACGTAAAAGAACAGGTCCACTGGATTTCACTCTCCATTGCTCTTATTTGGCGATTTGTCCTAGCTTGACGAGTTTGTTAAAAGGTCTTCATGATATGAGAGTCAAATTTTTGAATGGAATTTGTCTCAACTGGTTGATAAACATTCCGACCCATGAGTAAGTCTTCTGCCTTCTTGATGTGGTTGTCTTTATCCATTACTACTGTGGTTTAACCCTTATCGGCTCAAACTATGTCGACGTTCTTTCATTCTTCAGTTTCTTAAGAGCTCTCCGTTCCTCATTGGTTCGTCGAGAACTGTTTGCTTCTGCCTAGTTAGAGGTGCGATTACATGTCGAACTTTCCGTTAGGTCTCAGATTTTAGTCCCGAAGTCCTCAGTGATGACTCTTGGAATGCGAAGAATTTCTATCCTGAAGCTTCCTACCTACTGTAATTTAATCCTTTCTGAAGAAGAAATCCCTTTGATTTGGTCAGAGATTGTTTGGACTACGTAGTCACTTGTTTCTTCCCCCTCTGATGCTTGTGGTTTCGGAATCTTAGCCAGTTTCTCTTGAAGGATTTTTCTTCTCCTATTTTTGCGTCATCCCAGTTTTCAACGTTGTAAAGTGTTTTGTTGTGAGTACCCCCTGAAAGGTTCTCTTTCAGCTTTCGATCATCTTTTGATATTTCCGAATCCTACAATGGGCGTTGATGATCTTCAGTTATACCATGTGTCTACCACTCCTTTCCACTAATTCCCAGCCCACTGGATATTTAATGGTTGGATTGTATCTGATACTAGTTGATAGAACATGCTTGTGTGGACAATCGTGTAGAAAATATGGTTGTTCTCCTGTGAAACCCTGCTTCTCGGCGAAGTTCTCATATTCCCTAATAACAAGAGGTGTTTGGCACTAGTAGAATTTTGAGATGATGGAGAATATTTGTAGCTCAGGAGGATAATTTTGATAGTGTTGTGTTCTCTGAACAACTGTGGTAGATATATTCACAGATAGTTGGCAACAGATAGCTTTTAGGGCACTTAGTCGTGATCCAAAAACATAATGGAGATTCTTAGATGAGACTACTGCCGTGTTAGAGTCAGGCAGTATAGATATATTCTATACCCCCATAAATTCAGTTGAAAATGTAGCCCAATTTATTCATGAGATGATGAAGCAGAACTAGTTATATTCGATATTGGAATAAAAAGCAGGGAAGATGGGTATCTGGACGCTGGTATCTACAGAAGGTCTGCACATTCTAATCGACAGGCTTCGGGTTATCTCAGTTGCTTGTCAGTGAAAATAGGTTTTGCTAAAACTTTAAATTATAGAGCGAAAATTTCAAACAGTAAGGCAGAAAATATACAAGATAAGACAAAAAAGCCTTTATACTCTATTATCACCCCATCAACTGTCTAGAAATCCATGAAAAAAGAGCTGATACGCATACAAAGGTAATATAAGTGATAATAACGATAATAATGTTAAATAACAAACATTTTGATCCTCCAATGTTACGGCATGAGGGATGAACTTCAAAAGCGTACGAAGTATTATCAAACGGGCTTGGTTTAGAGTGGTATTTAAAAATGCAAACGCACTAAGAATGATATGTGTAGGATAAAAGATTTTAAGCAGCCTAAAAAACAAATTAATTTTAATACACCAGTGAAAAATGTGTGCTTTATGGAGTGGATTATTGTATCATCAGTAAATTTTTTAAAGCAAAGTTTACACCCAATCATAAGCTTTTTTCTTTTGGAAATAGTTCGGGCGAAAATTACTACCCGTGATCACACCAACAGTTAAAACATTTTAGCAATATTTATTAACACATTTAACAGTAAGCGTCAAATACATAGTCTTTACTCACTGTTTTTTAGTATGTTTGTTCAGTACAATGTTCTATACGGTTGACAGCTGTGTTGACTCACCTTTATTGTATGTGACAGGTGTGACATGTATAAACATGGATTCTGTTATTAATCTTTCTTTTCATCTGTTTTTCTTGGTCTCCAGAACTGTAATGTCGTTCCAATGGATCTTATGTTTTTCGTCCCATGCATGAGCTGCTAGCAGTGAACATTTTGCCAACATTTTGTATTTTCGTCCTTCTGAAGATTGACCTTTGTTAATCTTCGGTGCTCGTTCAGTCTGGTTTTCAAAGATCTGGATGTTTTTTCCACATACCTTATTGCAGTCTGCACACGGTATTTTATTTACCAGATTGTTCTTGTCCAATTTTTTAACCGGATCTTTTAGTTGGTTCAAATTATTCTTTATTAAATTCATTGGTTTAAACGTTGCGAAAATAAAAGCCTTACTAAGGTTTCTTCTAATTGCCTCTGATTTAACTCTTTTGTATGGTAATACCACTGTCTTTTTGTAGTTATCTTTCTCAATAACTCCTTTTGCCGACTTCTGTTTCTTCTTCTTGATGCTATCTTTTACGAACTGTTCTGGGTGTTGATTCTTAAGTAACATCTTGAATAAAATATTAGTCGCTTTTCGTTGGTCATCAGAGCATGTTGTTAGTCTACGTATTATGTTTACCGGACCCTGTATTAACCTTCGTTTTACTGTAGTTGGATAAGCTGAGTGGTAATTCAAAAACCTTCCAGAATGCGTCATTTTCTTATAGGGTCTTGTTTTTTAAAGTGTCTTCTACAGTTCTTTTGATTTTACAGTCCAACATCGGAAGATCTTCCAATTCATACTCTATGTGTGAATATATATTGCTAAAATATTTCAAATGTTGGTGTGATCGCAGGTAGTAATTTTGCATTAAAAAATTTATGCAAAATACTTCAGTTTACCGAATTCTATGAAATCATTTTGCGGTCAAGTATATGGATCAAACTAGTCGGTTGAAGTCAGTTAAATCAAAAGAGCACAAAATCTTTGTCAAACGTAGAATGTCAGACTTTAGTAAGATAAATCATCGAGAGAAAAGCTGTAGAAATACATACAGTTACGCAGAATCACATAATCGAATGGAACAGCGATTATCGTAAAAATTAATTAGGTACGGGGAAGAAAGAAACCGATTGCTAATCATTGGATTTGTACGGTTGAACACAAATTGCATACACCTAGAAAATTGTGCTACCCAAATCACAAAGAAAGGGGAATAAGTAGAACCGTAGATGTAGTATGAAAGTTATGAAGTTAACTTTGACATGACTGTGGACAATCGTTTTCTACGAAATGCCATCCATTAAATTATGTTGTGACGACACAGTATGCGAAATGTTCAACTGTCAACATGGAAACAATAGCATATTCCAGATGGAATAAAAAATCTAGTAAAATGGACTAAGGTCAGGTTTGCCTATATGAAACATCCAGAGTTATTATTACAATTTATTTGCCAGTAGTCGATATACTGATAAAAATCTACACAATACGATATTTAGTGAAGTTGCAACACCTCAGTCCTGTTCTAAGTTGAACCTATATTATCAATAATGGAAGCAAGGTGACTAAGCTATATTACTCAATCCTGATTCCAAATATTGATGATGATCAGGAGAAAACTCGGCAACTAGATCTCATGGCACTTTTCTCTAAGCTTTTCCATAGTTTTGATAAGGTACCTTGGTCCATAAATTCAATAATCCTTGACTGACTAGCAGGTGGTCATCTGTTGCCATAAGAGAACACTGTGTAAAGGTGTAACTGACCCGTAGCAATATTTCCCTATTTGTAAGGTTAGTTGTAGTTTAAACTAATTACAACATCTTTGACTGCATCAATAAACATTGTCGGTTCAGACTTCACCCACTTCCGAGCATGGGTTGCTAATAAAAAGACAATGTGCAGGTTAAATCTATTCCATCGATCCATACCCATAACTCCATTGATCCTGCAGTAAGGGTAATTTTCACTGTTCACCAAAGGAAATTAAATAAAACTTGACTAAAGTTAGAAAGAAAAAATCTGTGGAAGTAGAAGAGGAAATGCACTCAACTGATAAGTAAAAATAGGCATGAAAAAACTGATATTGATGGGGAAATTGGGAATTGAAATACCCTTGACGAATATGTGCACGTATGTACAGTGGACAATGAGCCATTATCTATGCATGGGAGTTAATGATATACTTGGCGTCCAAAACCTCAGTAGGGGGAGCAGCACTTGAAACCACGACCCACTGATAGAAAGTCAACTTTCGAAACCAGTAAGCATTTCAGCATATTGAAAGGAAATGCGCAGTCTTTGCGTAGAGAGGAAAGAATAACCATCGAGTTATTTATCCATAATTAATGGATTCTGATTCCCACCCCATACACACAATATTAACTGATACTTTAAAAATCATCATCTTAAATTATAAAACTTGTAATTCAGAGGAAAGCATATTAGTCTCTGGATACAACAGTCACCTCAAATTTTCCGACAGCCAATGATTTTTTATTAAATACACATTCAGATAAAAAATATCCCTTAACAATTCTTTTTTCTGCATTACTGGTGATACCCCCTACTTTTCATATACCTGTAACATGTTTTAAAGTACACAACTGAAGTATTCATAACTCACTCTATTACTTTTTGTATTCATGTGTTACAGGGACTTACCTGTTTGTGTATTATTATTGATTTATAGGTTGGAACTTGGTCTATGAGTAGCAAATGGGGTCGAAGTAAATCAAGACTTAGAATTGATGGTGTTACATGGCCAGGTGCATCGAATTCCCCACCTAGAGGTCGACCACACAAATTCAAATTACGTGTGGTAACAATAAAAGAAATACCATTTGTAATTTATAGCAAAGCCCAGGTAAGAACGTTCTACGAATCCCTTGAAACATTTTCCTAATTTGAAATAATAAAATGAGTAGTCTTGGGTGAGGCTGCACAAGCATCTTTGTAAATAAGAATCCTTCTATATTATTGGTGATTTAATAGACAGTATGACGCATAATACAAGGTTAGGAATATTAGACTGTATAAACATACAACCTAACTTCTTTCAGTTGGTTGAAGTATGCAAGTGACTATTTTTTATCTCAGTAATGTTTTTCAATCGTGATATTCTTTAAAAGGATACACGTATTAGATAGTTAGCTGTTCAGTCTTTTTGTATATTCATTCAGTTGGACCTTAAAATTACATTTTCAGTCAGGGGCAGTAGTAACCCATTCGGCCATCTAATCTAGTTAACTAGATATCCTTACAAACACATATAATATTTAAGATATAACAGCGAATCTAGTCTATACGCAAGGTAATCCTTACCTTTTTAAATAAAGCACTCGAGATAATGACAATACAAAAATTTTCAGATTTCATTCTAACTAATCAAACATCTGAAGCGTATTCACTCAGCTAAACAAATAGAATGCCAGAAAGCAACCAGAAAAACAAGGTCAGATAATCTTATAAGTACTACAAGTTACTTATCATCAAGGTTGTAATTATAATACGTTGGTGCTACTGTCTAGTAAGACAACGCGAAAAAACACGACTGCTCTGAAACGATTCTTCATGTCAATATGTTTCTTAAACCCCCAACAAAATGGAACTACTTTCCAAGAAAACTATCAGGTGTTGGGTTATACTTCCTGCTCATCAGTGTACTATTTTAAAGTGGTGATATTTAGGACAGAATCCTGTATTCGGTATCGAGTTATTTATCCATAATTAATGGATACTGACTCCCGCCCCATACACACAATATTAACTAATACTTTAAAAATCATCATCTTATGAAACATCATTCTGTTTAACGAGTTAATCATGTTCAATATTCCCCAATATTCACACACTTTTGTTTCATTACGTGGAAAGAAGTCAAAAATGCTACAACCCATCTTAAAAAAAGGAAATGATCATTATACGTATACGCATATTTGTCCAGATAAATAATAGAGTAGTAAAACAGTTCAGAGCAAAGTGGTTTTCAGCTAGTTGAATACACAAATGTGAAAACAAGAGACTGACTGTAGGGTATGTTATGTGTAACTCAATGATTAAGATTGTCGCCGACAGAGCACCTTAAAGTTTATCCATGATATCAATATCAAGAAGCTTGTTCAAGAAGTCACTTAATAAAAAATTATATCACTTTAGGCTACTTAGTTGAAAAGAACATTCATAACAGGCCATAAGATTAAACGAAATCAGTATTTTTTGTTGTAGAGTTGTTGAGGAGTTCTTGATCCCTAACATTATTGATGCTAGGTCTTAGTTAGACTGAATATGCAAGTGATCGGAAAAGTCATTTACGCCAGGTGCATCTTTTAAATCCTTCTGTTTATCACCACAAAAACATGTAGGAACTTATTAAAGGGTTATTCTACTTTATGGTATCATTTATTTGACGTCTTGCTTTCCAGCACTGATTTCACAGAGTATGAGATTGTAGTCTTATCAAGGGATATTGATTTTTGCTTTTGCGGTAAAAACAAAACGAAGAAATCGTCAGTAATACAATTGGTGTCGAATTAATTACTCTTAAAATATGCGAAAATTAGCAGGGAAATTGGATTCGTGTTGCGAGTGACTAAAGAGATGGGAATAGATAAACAAGCAACACCAAGTGTCATGATCAGAATCGTCACAATACAGGAGAAGCGTTAGAATATACTGAGGGTTGTTAAAGGTGAAAATGAGGAGGAACAAAGATTACTAACCTGTTTAAGACTTTCATGTTTAGGAATGAATATGCTTGAACTGCTCTGATTGATTTTATTCCAAAGTAATGACAGTCTGGAACCACTACTTTCCAAAACCACCATAACTGCAGTTAATTAATACACATCTTTTTGCTCAGCACTGGTAATTACTGAATTCATGGACTAGAGACAGGTTTTACTCTGATCGGCTAAAGCTTTTGTCCCATAAACTTACTACAGCTAACATTAGGCATTGATGTAATTCATGCTTCGGTATGGGTAATAAATCCCCCAAATCGCTAACTCAAAGGAGCAGTGTTATGATGATATTTATTTTAAACTATAGTTGATAAGAGTCGAAATTATTTCAAGTCAAGCATTCAGTTTTAATTTAATCATCTGATCCAAGTACATAGGTTTATTTAATTCACTTCACTGACGTCCATCATTTTACATTACTGTTCCAAAACTCGAAGTAAAAGCACAAGTCAGAATGATATGACTGACAGTTTCTGTACCCATGTCATAACACTTATAACTTGTTTTTATTCAAAAACGTAATAGTCTTAGTTATAGGCTTCATATATTCAAACTATCTTTCAAGATAGTGACCATGGATGAAATATGGCCTTCCAGACAAGAACTTGGCAGCAGGTTGGTAAACATAATTTCTCTACTTAAAATTTAGTTCATCGCATTGAAAATCGAGATATTTTTCTTACCACTTTTTATATGATAGGCTTTCTATAAACAAGACCTTAAAAGGCGCATGTATTCTTCATCCAAATGTCTCATTGACCGCAAGACTGTATTTTTTTTATTATTATTAGTCCCTTGGGTTCCTAGTGGAACATAGGGCTTCAGTAGCACGCCTCCATTCCACTCTCTTCTCTGCAATCCTTTGAACCTGGTTCCACGACAGCCCACAAGCTCTCATTTCCTCCTCGCATGACCTCCTCCATGTCACCCTCGGACGTCCAACTCGTCGCTTCCCATGGGGATTCCACTCGAGCGACTGGCCTGACGCGTGATGTCCTCAGTCGGCCTTCTCAGTGCATGGCCAATCCATCTCCACTTCTTCCTGCATATTTGTTGCGTGATAGGTTTTTGGTTGGTTCGTTCCCAGAGTTCCTTGTTGCTTATTTTTTCTGGCCATCTGATCTTCAGCAGCGAGAAGCGTAAGCAGTTGTTGATGAATGTCTGTAGTTTATTGGAAATGCCTTTCGTGACGCGCCAAGTCTCTGAGCCATACAAGAGCACTGACTTGACGTTGGTGTTGAAAATCCGTATCTTGTTCCGCATGCTGAGTGCAGAAGATCTCCACACTGGTTTCAGGCTAATGAACGCCTGTCTTGCTTTTCCGATTCTGACTTTGACGTCCTCGTCCGTCCCGCCTGTAGTTGAAACAGTGCTTCCTAGATAAGTGAAGGAGGTTACTTCCTTCAAGTTTCTCCCGTTGACGGTGATTGGAGTTTGTTGTTGTTGTTGATGGTGGTGGTGCGGTATCTTCATCACTTCTGTCTTCTCTATATTCACCTGAAGTCCCGTCTTCGCTGCCTCTTCTATCAACTTGTTAGTTTTTGCCTGCAGATCTTCAAGTTTATGTGACATTAGGCATAAGTCATCGGCGAAATCCAAGTCTTCTAGGTTCTTTTCCGTCGTCCAGTGTATCCCCCTCTTCTCGCTGCCTACTGTTTGCTGCATGATCCAGTCCACCACAATAAGGAATATCATGGGGGATAGTAGGCAACCTTGTTTCACTCCTGTCTTCACTTCAAAGGCATCACTGAGCTTCCCATTGTGGATTACTTGGCATGTGGCATCTTCATATAGTTGTTGAATGAGGCGGATAAAGGTTTGCGGTACTCCGTAGTATTGAAGCAGTTTCCAAATTACTTCTCGGTCGACGCTGTCAAAGGCCTTCTCAAAGTCGATGAAGTTGAGGTAGAGAGCTGATTGCCATTCTATGCTCTGTTCTATGATGATACGAAGCGTTGCAATTTGGTCTGCACATGATTTGTACTTCCTGAAGCCTGCCTGTTCCGGTCGCAGTTTTGAATCCAGTGCATCTTTAAGCCTCTCCAGGATGATGCGGCTTAATATTTTACTTGGGGTGGACAGGAGAGTGATTCCGCGCCAGTTCTTGCAAGCACTGAGGTCTCCCTTCTTCGGCAGTTTGACAAGGTAACCCTTCTTCCAATCGTCAGGTACCTTCTCTTCCTTCCACACCTTCTGCAATAGTGGTGTGAGCATGTCCGCTGTTGTCTCTGCATCTGTTCTCAGTGCTTCTGGCGGTATTCCATCTGGTCCTGCTGCTTTCCCACATTTCAGTAGCTTTATGGCGTTCAGGACTTCCATTTTCGTTGGGGGATTTATGTTCACTTGTAATTCAGCGGCTGCAGGTGGTATTTCTGGACGAAGTGCAGGTGGTGGTCGATTCAAGAGCTTCTTGAAGTGGTCGGCCCATCGTTTCCTCTGTTTCTCTTCTTTTGTAATTAAATTTCCTTCTTCATCTTTTATTGGTTTCATCTGTGTTGGTCTCTTCCCTGATAGCAACCTGGTTATTTGATACAATGTCGTCAGGTCTCTCTTACCTGCAGCCTGTTCTGCTTCACTTGCCAGTGTTTCGTAGAAGTGTCTTTTGTCTTTGCGTGCACTCTTCTTCACTTCTTTGTCCAGTGTTTTATACATTGTGCTCAGTTCCTCTTGTCGTTGAGCATCCTTGCACTGGTTTATCTTCTGCTTCACCATCCTCCTCTCAAAACTCTATCAGCTTCCAGGTATCCGTCGAGATCCATTCCTTGTCTTCTTTCTTCTTCCTTCCTAATACTGTTGTGCAGGTTTCTTTCCACATAGCTTTCAAAGACTTCCAGTGTTCTTCCACACAGGTTTCTTCAGGGATGTTCCTCGATATCTCCCATTTTGTCTTGATGGCTGCCTTGAAGATCTCCTTTGTAGTTTCATCCTTCAGTTTCCGAGTGTTGTACTTGAATTGAGGTCTATCACCAGCTTCCTTGAAGGCTTTTAACTTGATTTGGAAGGTTCCTTGCACTAGATAGTGGTCTGAACCTACATCTGCTCCTCTTCTTGACCTTGTGTTAAGTAGACTGCGTCTCCATTTTCTTGAGATTGAGATAAAGTCGATTTGATTTTTAGTGTGTCCATCTGGTGAAATCCATGTCGCTTTGTGGATATCTTTGTGCCTGAACACACTGCCTCCAATCACCAAATCGTTGAATGCGCAGAATTCTGCAAACAATTCTCCATTCTCATTCATTTCACCTAGCGCCTCTCGACCCATGGTTAGTTCTCTTCCCGTGTTGTCCCCTCCCAGTTTGGCATTCATGTCGCCCATTAGAATTTTGATATCGCCAACTGACGTCTTGTCCAGTGTTGATTGAAGTTGTCTGTAGAATTCCTCCTTTTTCTCTTGCTCTGCATTATTTGTAGGTGCGTAGTATAACATTGTATGATTGTGACCTTTCTTCCTTTTGAGTTGAATCTTGCTGTCATGATCCTGGAGGAGATTGGTTCCCACTGCATGAGAGCCTTCGATGCTCTTGAGGACATCATGATAGCCACTCCCTCAGTGTGCTCGTGGTTGGCGTCTGGGTGACCGGAGTAGATTATTGATTCTCCAGTTGACAGTTTGGAGAGTCCACTCCCATTCCATCTGCTTTCGCAAATCCCAAGCACTTCGATGTTATACCTTCTCATCTCCTTTGCAATCTGGGCTGCCTTACTGGGTTCAAACATCGTGCGGACATTCCATGTCCCCACGTTTACTTTCGCTTTCATCGAGAGAAGACACATCGGCCAATTGGCTTCCCGAAGGCTTTCACCAACTGGCGTCATTTCGCCTCTCCGATTCCAGCGGGGAATAAGTTTGTTTTCATTTTTTATATTTTGTTTGTGCTTTGAAGTTTCTTTAGCGGTTAGATTTGTTTTACGGGGTAGGGTTGCTAGCCCTATGCCCAACCTTCCCTCTTTACCCGGGCTTAGGACCGGCTAGTAACTAGTGAACTAGTTAACCAGGCGAGGTTATGAACTGAACTTAATTCCTTGAAATGGAGTGGATTTTCATCAGGCAGAAGAAATCCTTTAATGAACTTCTTGTCAGTAGTCTTCCACCACTTCATTTCATTCTTTTTTGCCCGTTTTTTATCTCATATCAAGGAGGGTGGAACTTGTGATGCTAATTCAATTCCATGCAACTGAGACCACAATCCCTACAAGATGAAGACACATCTGGGAAAAGTTCAGTCATGCACAAAACACGGAGTGCTGTGGGGATACATTCTTATCACAGCGATTTACATAAACAATCCTTACAAGATGTTTTGACTACAAATTCAACAGTGGCATCAGAATTGCATGATGCAAATAATTCAGTAATTTATGTGAACGGATGTTGTTCTGGACTGACAATGGACTTATTAATGGAATTAATGAAAGATTTAAACTTCGATGTTGAAATGTATGAAGTTATGGATGGCTTTTGGGGAGCTTGGACAGTAAGTCACCAAGCCATATTGATAACTGTTATTTTTCGTCTCCGTTTCAAATGCCAGCGTTTACTGCCAAATCAATGCGTAAAGTTGACAGACATTATGGTTTATAATCTGTCTGGGTGATAAGCTATTGATTGAGGGTTTCTTTTCCACTCATCTATTTACCCACATAGCACAGAACGGTACCAGTCTTCATCGCGATGAAGAGAAATGAATCGAAGCCTCTGCAAGACGTTTCTTACTTTTGAGGTGTCTAAGAAAGCGTTTAGAAATAACATAGTCACAAGTATCCAAAAGAATGAAAATGTATTTGTGACTGTTGTTCAACTTGTCTTCTATAATCCAATGGCAGCTACTTCGTATCATTGTAATCATGTGCCATGAATATAATTGGGTGTAACGAATCGATGCTGAAAAAAAAAAGAAACCCAGAATAAATTTAATTCTAAAATCTAATCATTTATCCGTTGGGCAGACTTTGGAAGAAATAAGTTGTCTCAACGACATACAATTCCCAATGGATTATAAAATTTAATGTCTTTTACTTTTGGTTAACAGCAATTTTATACCAGTACTTTTTATTCCCTTTTATTCAAGCAAAATACTCTTAGGATATACAGTTAATAATACACTGGTGAACTAAAAGAAAGGCATATAGCTGAGCTAAAGCGAAACAAATGAAGTGAAAGTAACTGATGACACTCTAGGGTTTTGTTGTGAATAAGTCCAGTAGATTAAGAAAATGGGCATAACATTTTGAATACAAGCCTTCTGACCGAATTGTTAACCGGTTTACCTTATGAATACATGAAATAAAAATAGAATATCTTCAGTAAAATTCAAATTGAATAAACTGAGCCTTGGGTAAATGGTTTATAAGGGAAATGTATTCATAAAATCCTGGTAGGAAAATTTCTGGCCTTTCGTGACCTCGTAGAAGCCGTTTCTTCTGAGAAGTGACTTCTGAAGAAGCGTTTCCACGAGTTCACAAAACGTCAGATTGCAGTGATAAATGAAAGCCCAGCTATTATTTCTAATTTGTCAGACTAGAGAGCAACCCTAACATAAAGATGTTCACTGAATACCAGTAATATCGTCAAAGCTTTAGAGACCAGCTACTTTATATCTTAAAAAACCTATGCCAACTAATTAACTGGGTATCTATAGATATACCTGTCTCGTCCATAGTAACAAATCTACTCATAAATAAATTTGAAAAAAGGGAATTTTGCCTTTAGTATTTCGATGACACGTTGGTAGTGTTAAAACATGATATGAACGATGTATTATGTGATCGGTTGAACACTAGATCCCCCGGTATCAGGTTCCGCTCACAAAAACAAACTGGTTTTCTAGTTGGGTGGAAAAGAAATGCATATTTAAGTATTACCATCTTCAGAATAAGAGCATACTTGAGTAAATATCTGGACTTTGATTCATCACATGCTATCGGTACAAAGGTTTCCGTTGAATTTGGTTCTTTTCAAATAAGCCACACACTGATAAGGCACGGGGACGAAAATGCAAAGGATTTAAAGTATGTGGAAAAGATTCTTAGGATGAATAATTATCCTATAAAATTCACTGACCTAATAGAAAACATTAAACTAGACTAGCAAAGTACTCCGAAATCATGCAGTACAACAGCCGTCACTCCACACAGTTCTAAAACCACGGATGAGATTAGGACAGTATAAGTGGTCTGCAGAACACCAGACACCCTATAAAGCACTTTGGTTCAGGTAAAGGACGAAATTCCCCCGGATTAACAAAATTATAGTGCTTGTAAAATAAAATGCTCAGACTAGGATACCGCATACATAGGACAGACTTCCTGAGAAATTAAATTTAGAAAATATGAATACCAAAGAGCTTTTAGTCGACCCTCTAGGAACCTGCTGGGGCTGGGAAAGCTTGAAAACACTTCGGCCGTAGTTCTACAGCCTACAGTCTCAGGTAACAAGGCTGGTTTAAACAATATCGAAATTGCCAGGATGACTTTAGAAATAATACGGAGTCAAAACTAACAGAATAGGAACGGGAAAATAAAAAGCTTGACCAACTTTCAGCTCAGCCGCACATACTGACATTACGCACACGCATACGATAAGAACTGTCATTTGACCATTTGAGATAGCCGCGGTTTAGCAGACTTGCATTGATAATGGGTGATGATTGGAGGTGAAATGAAAGTCTGGGCCGCGGCAGGAAGTCGAGAAGTCCAAACCAGGCAACCTGATCACTGTGACTTCGGAACACAACTGTGCATTCAGTGTGAGATTTATTCTTGAAATCTTGGACATCACCTACTTACCATGAATTCGAATACACCACTTACTCAAACTTCTAAGCTAGTAAGAACAATATAGAAAAATAAAAGTACTGCGTGAAATCAAATGACTACTTTGTGAATAAGGTGAGGCAGAAAGTACACAACGATCATGTTACTATCTTTAACTAATTAAACTGCATGTGAATGATGACTGAAATCAAAACGAGAAACTAGGTTGTGGTGAGTATCCTGCCAATGATCATGAGGTTATCGTTAGAAGCCCTACCGATGTTGCCAAAAGATCCGTATGCTGAGAAAGCTGCGATGCAAATGACGACTGTATCTTTTCGTTGTTTGAATAAGCAATACGTAACTGTCCTCTCGAAATCTTTATACTACCCACCCAGTTAGCAATTCTTGTTTTAATTCAAAACTAGGTGTGTTCAAAAGACTAAGCGGATGATTTGTTAACGCTTGAAATTTACTTGAAAGATTCCTTTCTCCAAAGTGGACTTCATGATGGGAATCTGTCTTTTATCAATCAGACTATAAAGTATGACGTCAGTTAAGTGATATTTTAACCATAATTCCAGTCAATTGTGAAGAATAAAAACTAGACAGCTACATGGGTTACCCATTGACGATGGACTGGTGTGTCTAGCAAAGTCTTACAGGAAGTTAAACGAGGTCTGTATAGCTTCGGTGTATAATATGTGACTTCATTATTGAGTAATCCAGGTTCGAATTATCAAGCTTTTTTATTGGTTGGAGGCACGCCATGCTAATATTTATTATTATTATTATTATTATTAGTCCCTTGGGTTCCTAGTGGAACATAGGGCTTCAGTAGCACGCCTCCATTGCCCTCTGTTCTCTGAGATCTTTTGAACCTGGTTCCACGACAGCCCACAAGCTCTCATTTCCTCCTCGCATGACCTCCTCCATGTCACCCTCGGACGTCCAACTCGTCGCTTCCCATGGGGATTCCACTCGAGCGACTGGCCTGACGCGTGATGTCCTCAGTCGGCCTTCTCAGTGCATGGCCAATCCATCTCCACTTCTTCCTGCATATTTGTTGCGTGATAGGTTCTTGGTTGGTTCGTTCCCAGAGTTCCTTGTTGCTTATTCTTTCTGGCCATCTGATCTTCAGCAACGAGAGCGTAAGCAGTTGTTGATGAATGTCTGTAGTTTATTGGAAATGCCTTTCGTGACGCGCCAAGTCTCTGAACCATACAAGAGCACTGACTTGACGTTGGTGTTGAAAATCCGTATCTTGTTCCGCATGCTGAGTGCAGAAGATCTCCACACTGGTTTCAGGCTAATGAACGCCTGTCTTGCTTTTCCGATTCTGACTTTGACGTCCTCGTCCGTCCCGCCTGTAGTTGAAACAGTGCTTCCTAGATAAGTGAAGGAGGTTACTTCCTTCAAGTTTCTCCCGTTGACGGTGATTGGAGTTTGTTGTTGTTGATGGTGGTGGTGCGGTATCTTCATCACTTCTGTCTTCTCTATATTCACCTGAAGTCCCGTCTTCGCTGCCTCTTCTATCAACTTGTTAGTTTTTGCCTGCAGATCTTCAAGTTTATGTGACATTAGGCACAAGTCATCGGCGAAATCCAAGTCTTCTAGGTTCTTTTCCGTCGTCCAGTGTATCCCCCTCTTCTCGCTGCCTACTGTTTGCTGCATGATCCAGTCCACCACAATAAGGAATATCATGGGGGATAGTAGGCAACCTTGTTTCACTCCTGTCTTCACTTCAAAAGCATCACTGAGCTTCCCATTGTGAATTACTTGGCATGTGGCATCTTCATATAGTTGTTGAATGAGGCGGATAAAGGTTTGCGGTACTCCGTAGTATTGAAGCAGTTTCCAAATTACTTCTCGGTCGACGCTGTCAAAGGCCTTCTCAAAGTCGATGAAGTTGAGGTAGAGAGCTGATTGCCATTCTATGCTCTGTTCTATGATGATACGAAGCGTTGCAATTTGGTCTGCACATGATTTGTACTTCCTGAAGCCTGCCTGTTCCGGTCGCAGTTTTGAATCCAGTGCATCTTTAAGCCTCTCCAGGATGATGCGGCTTAATATTTTACTTGGGGTGGACAGGAGAGTGATTCCGCGCCAGTTCTTGCAAGCACTGAGGTCTCCCTTCTTCGGCAGTTTGACAAGGTAACCCTTCTTCCAATCGTCAGGTACCTTCTCTTCCTTCCACACCTTCTGCAATAGTGGTGTGAGCATGTCCGCTGTTGTCTCTGCATCTGTTCTCAGTGCTTCTGGCGGTATTCCATCTGGTCCTGCTGCTTTCCCACATTTCAGTAGCTTTATGGCGTTCAGGACTTCCATTTTCGTTGGGGGATTTATGTTCACTTGTAATTCAGCGGCTGCAGGTGGTATTTCTGGACGAAGTGCAGGTGGTGGTCGATTCAAGAGCTTCTTGAAGTGGTCGGCCCATCGTTTCCTCTGTTTCTCTTCTTTTGTAATTAAATTTCCTTCTTCATCTTTTATTGGTTTCATCTGTGTTGGTCTCTTCCCTGATAGCAACCTGGTTATTTGATACAATGTCGTCAGGTCTCTCTTACCTGCAGCCTGTTCTGCTTCACTTGCCAGTGTTTCGTAGAAGTGTCTTTTGTCTTTGCGTGCACTCTTCTTCACTTCTTTGTCCAGTGTTTTATACATTGTGCTCAGTTCCTCTTGTCGTTGAGCATCCTTGCACTGGTTTATCTTCTGCTTCACCATC